ACTTCACTCCATGGGCCATACCTGCCACATGCTTTCATTTTCCAAATTGCCTCATTTTGGAGCCATTAAGGTGGCAATATTTTATTTTATAAAGTAATGCAATTCAATTTCATATTGATTTAAAATTAAATAACCTAAAAAATAGTTTAACGAATTAAGATACTTGCTTTTTACTTAAAAAATTGTGAGTTTGAATCTTATTCTACACGTATTGTACTATAGAAAAGTTTTAAATGAGTCGATCTTTAGAATTATGAGTCTTAAACTAGAAATAAATATGAATTACTATTTAATTGAATTAAAATTCTAATCAAAGATCAACACTAGATTGATGCYTTTTTCCCTTCGAAAAATATATCTTATATGGAGAGAAAAGAAAAAAGGTTAATAGGTAGAAGTGCAGCTGGAAATTATAAAAATCTATGTTGAATTTTTATATTTATAATCTTTAAATTCTAAAATTTCAGGGTGAGACAAATTAGAAAAAAAATTACAAAATCTGAAATAATATATATAAGAATCAACATGGAAAACTGAGAAAAAACTACAACCCACTAAAAAAAATTCATTGTGTCAAAAATTATTACAATCATATAGATTTCTCTCTAACCCCAATTACACAAAACAATCTTTCAAAATAAATACCGTTCAGTTAATTACCGTTAGTATGTCAAGTTCAAAGTATTTCAATTCGAATGATTTTTGTCCATTATTTTGTCAAAATCTAACAATAACTCAACTGGCTAAGTCATATATACCCAACAAAAACGCTGAAAGTTTGATTTTTTAAAATTAACAAATCAGTTTAAGTAGAGACTTTTTCTTAAAAATTCGATAGAATAAGTATTGCTAGATTGCACTTCTTTTAAAAATCATATAATTATAATCCTCTTAATGAATTGTATGAATGTATCTTGAGAAATTTTAGTACATAGTATAAATTTAATATATATTTTAAAAAAGATCACAAATTTTCAAAATTTCAAATATAAAATAAATGTCATTTTTTCTTAGTATATTTTATACTAATGAATTTGATAAAGATTATGCTATTTTTGTTAAATTTCAAATTTTCTGTTATACTAAAAATACATATTATATTTATTTTTATTATATAGTGGAAGGCTCTAAATATAATTGCAAAGGACTACTTCATAAAATTTGTAGCTCAAACACATTATCCTAAACATAATAGATTTTAAGGATAAGATACGATGCATTTTTCTATATGTCAATAGCAGTAAATGAGTCGTTTATAGTCAAATTGAGTCAAATGAACAATGCAATCAAATGTAAAGAAACGAATTATACATATATTATTGAGTAGGTCTTCTATCATCGAAAAAGTCAAGACTTATTTGAAATAATTTTTTTTAGAACCAATCAAATGAGACCGTTGTTCGTTTTAAATCACAAGTTTTTAGATAGTGATTTAAGCGGAAACCATACAATTAATAACTAATCCATCCATAACTTCAACTATATGACAATTGTGTATACAATATAATTGCAACACTTTTCAGTTTTTTCATTTCCAACCTAAACACTATATAATATGCAATATAATAAATACATCATTTAATAATAACTTTATAACAATAATAATAATGATAATTTGAACTACAAACAACAATTATTATTATTATTATTATTATTATTATTATTTTGCAAAGGATTATTATTATTATTATTCAAATTAAACTCATGATATATAGTATAAATTATTCCATAATAATGCATCATAATGGACAAAAAATTAACCCATATAATAATGTATCGTAATGATAAAAACTCATTGATGCAAATTATTAATTAACCATAAAAGCTATAATCTACGTTTATTTATTTATTTTTTTAATTTTCCGATAAATAGAAATAAGTCTAGTTTATCTTATCCTTTCGAATATTTATCTTCTTGAGCACTTTTATTTTCTAGTTTGAATCATATATTGAAATTGAGAAAAATTTATTTGGTAAAATAAATGAAGGTCTAAAATTGGTTACGATTAAGATAAAACCCAATTCAAATAAAAAATATTAGATTATATTTTTAAAAAATCAAGATTTAAGATTAAATATATAAATTGGTATTAAAAAAAGATTAAATATAAAATAGGGATAAATCTTAATTGTGCAATTATAACTCAACTAGTTAAAACATCTATTTGTTTCAAAATGTTTGAATCTCCTCTCACTATGTCGTTGAATAACAAAAACTTTCAATTTTGTAATTTACCTTTTTTTTTCCTCTCTTAATCGACCATGAGTATTTAAAAACGTGTCTACACATCTTTTGATTATGCAATCGGGATATAGCAACAAATGCTTTATACAAGTTTATTGACTTCTAATTAATAAGATCAAAGATATTAAAAAAAAATATGAGTTTTAAGATTTTGCAAGATTAAATTTTCTCATTTGAATTTTTTTAGATCGTAAAGAATCCCACCATATTAGGTTGGAAATATCGAATAGTTGAACTATAATTAATAAACTAAAATACCATAAGAAGCTTTGGCTAAATTTGATTCCAAAAGCCTTAGGTAATTACCTTTTATTTTCAAGCCAAGCTTTAGGTCTCAAGCATTCACTCTCATAATGGCCCACTTTATAGAAAAATGAAAACTATGTTCCTTTTTTTAAGTATACCATCTGTGGCAGGGATACGAACTCATGATTTTTTAGTCAGAAAATAGATGTCTAAACTAGAGTTATCCTCATGTTGGCTCTATATTTATTTCTCGTGAATTCACAATTATTTTTCTTCAAAAAAAGAAAAAGAAATAGTAAGAACACGTAAATGAGTACAAAGATTTGAACATTTTGACAAAAAAAAAAACTATGTTTTAACCATTAAACTTTGCTTTAAGTCTTTTAAGTTATTCATTTCTTTCCTTTTCAAGCTTTTTTTAAGACCTCTTTTAACCCATTGATGGTTAACACAATGAATAATTCAAGCTTCAATTGTAATATATTAGTGTGGATTCATTAACATATAACTCATCTTTCATAGTTTTATGATTCGTTTTACAATAAATATATACATATATATGTATGTATATATATATATATGTAAATAAAGGATACCTAACAAGGAGAGAAAATAGATTCACAACTTGAGATCAAAGCACAAAAGAAATAAAAAGATCTGTAAAAAATTTCACTAACAGGAAAAAAAAAACAATAATATATAACTAAAGCATACAAACAATATAAGAAACACAACATACATTAGGGATAAGAAAAAAATAGCAACCTAATTATGAAATAAATTCAAAGTAAAGCCTATAATGAATAGGATCTAAAACGAGCTAGTTATCTCGTCAAGTAATAGCACGAACATATACACATCACGTTGAATAAGATTTAAAATAATTAGGAGTACATGGCACTTCATATAGATTTCAAATACAATATCCTAGACAATTCTTTCTACAAGAAAAAGTTTGATTTTATATAATCCTTCAATATATACAAAACCTTGATAAGTGCTTCAAAGAGAGGGGAGAGAGAGGACATTTTCTAATTATTAAGACTTAAAATTATATTTCCATTTGCTAAGAGAATTTTCAATATAATTACCACTTTGTAAGGTTATATCTTTTCCATATCCTCCTAATCACACTTTTTTTTTTTCCCTTCTCTTTGGTTAAAAATTGTCATATTATAGAGTTGCATTGCAATCTTTCATTATCTTATTAAGATTTAAATAATTTAATAATGTAGATACCTATTTTTTGGACCACATTTAAAAATCTTAGCAAAGAAAAATTACTTGAGAGAGAGGTGATTTTTAATTATAGAGTTCTGCCTGCGTGCGGTGTTTACAACTTTCAAGCTTTTTTTTATTTTATTAAAAATATTTATATTATAAATATTGATGAGAGATTCAAATTTAGGAGCTTTAAAGAGGTAAGATATCTTAACCTCTAACTATACATAGATTAGCAGGGTTACAATATTTTATTATGTATTAAAATTTTAACAATTTAATTAAGATGTCAACCTAAACATAGTTCGAACCGTTTTTTTAACACACTAGGTGATAAAAATATCTCTTTAACTAGAGTATCAACTACCAAGTTAGGATGGGGAGCGGTTCCATCCATTAGTCATATAACCAAGTGAAACCAACCTGCCAATAAGGGAGTTACCAGTGTCGTTGTGTTCTCGTCCAATGTGTTTAAAGCGTATAATATATCTACTTGTGGAAAAGTTGATGAATTTCCTCGACGAAATTGCAACTTTTTGTTAGGTCCTCATGTTCTTTGTACAAGAGTTCAAACGATTTGATTTGGAGTGGCCGATGATACTCACTTCCCCTTGCTTGCAATTAATGGTCATGATAATATATTAGCATTGTCGAAATTAAAATTGAATACTCTCTAAGCTAATATGACCATAGTTCATTGGTCCATGTACTTTTAAAACATCTATTTTAGTCCATGTATTTTTAACTTTTCTTTATTTTAATCTATGTACTTCGAAACGTTTGTCTTGGTCACAATACTTTTAAAAGTGACAATTTTGGTCATTTTATTTTTATTTTTGTCTTATCTATTTCAATCAAAATTTTAGCATTTACCCCACTTATTAAATTTCTTGAAATGTAGCAATAAATTTGTATTAAATAATTTTCACCATGTATAAAATTTGTGTTAGAATTTTGTAAATAAATACTAGAATGATCGCTTTTAAAATACATAGATAAAACACATCCAATTTGTTTTAATACAATACGTGGGAGGAATCGAGGTCACAATCTCTTGATTGAAAATATTTATCAATTACCACTAAGCTATGTTTGTTTTGAAAAAAAAACATACAATTTTTTAAAGAACAAAAGTTGAAAATAGTATAGGTAACGAAATAATATTTAGACAGAAACAAAAAAAAGTATTTAAACATTTATAATATAATATTTTCTAGAATTTAGTTCTTAAACAATTTTTTTAGGTTAAATTTTGAGAGAGAGAGAGAGAGAAAAACTAATCTTTACGAATATTCCGTTCTATGCAGGAGAGGAGGTGGAGAGAAACAACATTTGCAGGTGCCCACGTCACCACTTCTTTGCCTCAAATAACCTGTCTCTCCCACATTTTCTCTGCTCTGCTCTCTCTCTCCTCTCTTTCTCTCTCATCCTCTTCATAATTCCTTCATACCTTCCTCCCCTGTACTTCTCAATCCCTCTGAATTATGATTTCTTTACCACCCTGAACCACAAAAACTTCGACACACAAACTTCTGCGCTCAATTTACCAATTATTGTGATTGTGTTCTGGCCTACTCCTCTCTCACACCCCAATTTCATCATCATTGCTGGAATTCAGTACAATTCAGAGATCTCAGGTATTGGGTTCAATTTGTTTTCATTTGTTTTCAATCCCCTTTTGATAATTTCCAATACCCTTTTGGATCTCTTCCCAATTGAATCTCTTCTTAATGCTTGTTGTTGTTCTTTTTGTTGTTTTTGGTGCTGGGTGTGACCGTTTCTTATTGTTTTTGGAATCATTTCGAATTTGAATACAGGTTTGAGCTTATGGGTGTATGTCATGGGGTCTCTGTGGCCGCCCTTTTGGAATGAATCTGAAAGTTCTAATTCGTTTTTTCTTTTTGTGTTTTGATGTCCTCCTTTGGTTTGGGATATCGCTGTTTATTACGTTATTTTATTAAAATTGATCCATTTTTACTTATGGAACGTGATATGCTTTTGAGTCGTTGCTATAATATTGATAATTTGTACACTGTGCTCTGGAGGAAACTTGAAGGCTTTTTTCCCTCTCTCTCTGTCTCGCTGAGGAATCAGATTAATGCTTTCTAGTATTTCACTGAATACAAAAATGTAAGATTCCTTCCGGACTTTAATCAACATGGGGATGTGACAATGATGGATTTCATATGCTTATCTTATTATCCATGGAAAATGTTGTAGAAATATTAGTTTAATCATCTATGTCTTAATCTCCAGAAGATTTTTGAGGCAACAAGAAAAAACTGGCTTTGGTAGTCTACTCGGTGATTTTCTATTTAGAATGTGGAGAACTAAAAATTGTACAATATGAATATCTAATGCATTATTAAAGTTGACTTGGATTCTATTTTGTAATACACACAACAAATAAACTCCAAAATAGATGACAAGGCAGTAGGGGTTATTATCTTTTTCTCTTGGTCAGGTTTTAAATGGATCAAATTTCTCCTTATATCTGCCAAGGAAAATTTCTGCATATATAAAAGTGGACGATTTTATTATTATTATTATTATTATTATTATTTTTTAGTACAACAAATTGGAGGTATTGGGTTGAACCTCCAACCTCAAGAGGAGGAGTGGGTGTCAATTATCACTGAGCTATGCTCATGTTGGTCTGAGTTCTTTAGCTTATGACATAGCAAAAAGATGCAAATTTGACTAGTATGGCAAGCTTCGAACCACTGTGATTGTGACAGATGAAGAGTGATATACAAGCTTATCAGGCGTGGTAGGGGTCAGCTAACTAGAGCCTAGATACCGCAGCATGCTTACAATTGCATCCATTTAATTGCTTTTATTGACATCCATTTTAGCTCATTAGATGTTAGTTCATGTATTTTTTTTTTAAGGATATCAGACTTATTTCTTGTTTTAGGGGTTATTAACTCCTCAAGCAGCAGGTACCTTTTCACTATTTTCATGAAAAGTTTTGTTTCCTTTTTTTTTTCTTTTACAAAAAATTATAAGTGAATGGTGGCACAGAGTAACTTGGAAGTTTTTCTACATTAGTATAATCCAGCTGCAGTCCAGTATAGTTGCCTTGATATCTCAGTGTAATAAGTTTACGTGCATGTGCTCTAAGGAGAACAATATGTACATGAACTTTTGAAAAGAATCTTCAAACCCAAGGGATCCTTTTACTGGTGTATAATATGGGAAAAGGAAAATGTTACTTTCTTTCCGTTTGTTTGATGGGCAAGTTTGCTATTTTTTTGTATGAGTCGGGACTATAATTGTTTTTCCATGTTCCACAGCCAAATTGTGGTAGCATCCATGAAACAATTGTTTTTTTTTTATTATTTTTAATCTCTTTTGAAGTTATGGATCCTAAAAAGATATGCAATTTTATTTGGATTTCTGGAATCCTTCATTCTTCCTTTTGCTGTTTCCCAGTTACCACATAATAGTACCCTGTTGTGTAATCTGATTTATAAATTATTCAAGTAATGAATGACGGATTTTATAATTTGCCAAGATGGAAGTTAAATGATGTAGGTTTCAGAGTCATTTCAATTACAATTCATTGATAAGTTTCAAAGTTTTAGTTTTTGTTATAAATTTGAGTCACTGATTACTTTCTCTCATGCAGGATTTTGTCGCATTTTCGGATGATTGATACAGGTGTTTAAGAGTACCATTTAATCCGTATTACCATACCCAGTTATAAGGAAGGAGCTAAAACATGTCTGGCCCAATAAAAGTTTTGGATCCTGCTTTTCAAGGAGTAGGGCAGAGAGTGTATCCTTGATTCTAGTAACACTGGACGTTGTTTCTTCTCACTTTTTTTCTTTTTGGGATAAGAGAATTTATGTTCACTGTATATCCAACAAATTAAGATCTTGTAATTTATTTTCTTGTTTATTATTTTAAAACTTGCTTCTTGTTTGCCGATATTGAACATGCTGCTTCCAATTTGATGTGTGGAACTTGATATCATGTCTTAGTGGAACTGAAATTTGGCGAATTGAGAATTTTCAGCCTGTTCCATTGCCGAAGTCTGATCATGGAAAATTCTACATGGGGGATAGCTACATAATATTGCAGGTTGCTTTCAACTTTTTATTATTAGTACTGCTCTAGTATTTTCTTGAAATGTTTTATTGCATTTAACAGATTTGGAAATGATTATTCAACTTCAATTGCTATCATTTTTCTTTTTCATACCATATGATTATAAAAAAATCTTGAGTTATATACCTTGACAGTTGCCCTCATTTTGGAATTTAAATTGTATTATGTAAGCTATGTGGGATGTTTGAAACAGTTCGATAGAAGTATAAATTCTTAGATTGTTTTCTGTTGTGTCTTAGCTTTTTTATCTGAGAACAAGCGAGTCTGTTATGCAAAGAACTGACAGATAAACTATGAAAAATGGGAGGCTTCGTAGCAAATCTTGTGCAATCGCTTTATTAAACTTGTCTGTCTTTCATGTACTGTATTTTAACACATATTTTTGTTGCAGACAACACAAAACAAAGGTGGCTCTTACTTGTTTGATATACACTTCTGGATTGGAAGAGATACAAGTCAGGTGTTCTTTCTTATCTTACCCTGCTCTCGCTCTCATCTTCACTCACTCTCCTCGCTTCATAGAAATATTTTCGGATCATGGCCACTGCACTGCAATATTATCTATGTAATGGTTCTGGATAGCTCTTCCAGCATTAGGCTGTTGTGACCATTCTAATAAAATTCAGAGATATTGCATGCTCAACTAGGCTATTACAGGGTTTACTTTCCGTTGTTTTTTCCACAACACCTGTGAAACCTTGAAATTCACTTCACTAATATTTGTTGGAATTTGGAAAATCCACAGAATTAGAGCATGGATCTAAAAAAAATTAAATAGATATTTTTCCTTGATTTTCTGAGAATTTAATAAGTTAAGTTGCTATACTCAAGATATGTGGTAGCTGTGTTTTTATTTTGTTATCTCTCTCCTTTTGGGAGATTATTTCCTTTAACATTCTTTTGGTATATTTTCATTAATCAATGGAGAGTTAATTTTTTATTAAAAAAAAAACTCAAGATCTGTGCTTATGATTTCTTTCCATGAACGCCAATTGGATGCCCTTTTTGTGCTCGCTTGGCCAGGTTCTAAGAAAAATTAAAATAGACATTTTTCTTTAATTTTCTAAGAATAAAAAAAAAATTACAGTTACAATACTCAGGATCTGTAATTATTATTATTCTTTTTCCATGAATGCCAATTGGGCACCTTTTTTGTGCTCACTTGGCCTTAGTGGATGCCTTAACCCCTCACTTAGTGGAAGTTTTGGTTATTTCATATTGAAAAAGAAAATATATTCAAGTTTCGTAAATGTGTCTTTCAGGGGTTTACAATTACCATTTGAATCCTCGAGAAACCTTGTGTTGCCTTTACCTTTTTTATTTTTTGAAGGATTAATTCCTAAATTTTCTGACCTTCAACCTAGGATGAAGCTGGGACTGCTGCGATAAAATCTGTTGAGTTAGATGCAGCTCTAGGTGGACGTGCAGTGCAGCATAGAGAGATTCAAGGCCATGAATCTGACAAATTTTTATCATACTTTAAACCTTGTATCATTCCACTTGAAGGAGGTGTTGCATCTGGATTTAGAAAAGTTGAGGAAGAAGAATTTGAAACACGGTTATATATCTGCAAAGGAAAACGAGTAGTCAGAATGAAGCAGGCACGGGATTCTATTAATATAAACTTCCATATGTTTAAGATTTTTCTAGGATCAAAATCATTTTGCATTTTGATAATGCAGATTCCTTTTGCTCGTTCTTCTCTCAATCATGATGATGTGTTCATCCTAGACTCTGAAAACAAGATATATCAGTTCAATGGTGCTAATTCCAACATCCAAGAAAGAGCCAAGGCTTTGGAAGTGGTTCAATTTTTGAAGGAAAAGTATCATCAGGGAGTGTGTGATGTTGCAGTAGTGGGTATGAATGCTTCAAAATTTCTTTCTTCTACCATTCCCCTATTAACAAGAAGCATAACTTCTTTATAAAGGAGTGAGAAAAGAAAAAAAAATCAAAGGAGTGACAGTAGACAGAGTGGAATTTGGGTTTTCACATGGCTAATTTATCTATCATTAGTTTTCATAAGTTCCTTACTCATGGTTGTTAGCTACTCCTTAGTTTATTAATTGTGTAATTTGGTTTGCCCTTTTAGATGATGGGAAGTTAGATACAGAGTCAGACTCAGGAGAGTTCTGGGTCCTCTTTGGTGGTTTTGCACCTATTGGAAAGAAGGTTATCAGTGATGATGACGTGATTGCAGAAGCCACACCTGCTAAACTTTATAGGTATCTGTCTATTTCTCACCCACATCAAATGCAAATTGACAAATGTAATTTATTTATCATTTACAGAGTGCAAGTATCTTAAAATGAAAACTTCTTTTATCTGAATCTTGAAAACTGGTTGTTTATCATCTCTCTGTACACATGCATGCTATGTTCTGAGAAATCTGGAGCAATAATCAAATTTTTTTTTTGCTTGAAGGCATTGGTTCAATTGTTCTTCAGATGCTTCATATTTGATTCTTGCTGTTGTTTTAGTATTTTGATCCTATGTGTATATTGCACTTTGTTATTTTCATGTTTGCCCTTTTCTTTTAGGCCGAGAAGCTATTCCATTGAGAAATGATACTAATTCTGTTATCATAAATTAATTACTGTAGATGTAAATTCTGTTATAATCCAAAATTTCCTCCAATTTTATTTCTTGTGTATATGACTTTGGTCATTAACATTTTAATCTCAATTTTGTGAAGTGAGTTAGTGTGTCTTGAGAGGATATTGTCGGAATAGGCTTTAAATTTCCTTAGGTGACAGTTCGACATATTAGAAATTGTACGTAAGATGGAGTTGTGCAATGGACACAGAGCCAGCTTGGTCTATATGTTAGCATCTGTCTTCAAGACAAAATAATAGTGAAATTTTTTTTTCAGAATCTCTCATACTTTCTAGATTAATATTTAATTTAAATGCACTTCCATGCTTTCGTTATTGGTATGATTCTGGAAACCTTGATTCTTCTTTTATTATCTTCCACCAGAAAAAAAGAAACTTGACACACTATGCCACAACACTTTCTTTTTCTTATTAGGGTTTAGTATTATCTTTTTTCCCCTCGTCAGTTCTGATCATGCTCCAGCTTAAAGGGAGTGTCTAAGATTCTTTTGGTGCGTCTCTGTATCAAGCCTCTAATTGCTTTGTTCTTCAATGTTTTATTTGGACTTATGTACTTCATTTGGCTGTTTTGAGGGAGCTTGTATCCTTGAGCATTTTCTTCATTTCATACATCACTAAAAAAGCTTGTTTCTTGTTTAAAAATAAAAAAACACTATCCTTTTATTTTATTTTATTATTATTAAGAAACAAAATTCTTTTTTGGATGCATGCAGCATAGCTGATGGTGAATTGGCGATCATTGAAGATGAACTATCTAAATCATTGTTAGAAAACAACAAATGCTATCTATTGGACTGTGGTTCTGAGGTATTTGTTTGGGTTGGACGAATAACCCAGGTGGAGGAAAGAAAAATGGCCGTTCAAGCTGCTGAGGTAATAGATTAGGAATTTAGCATCCTAGATAATACATTCCACTAAACTTGTATCTAAATGTGTCTATTCTTCACCACCTGTACTTTTCTAGGAATTCCTTGTCAAAGAAAATAGGCCAAGATCGACACAAATAACACGGCTTATTCAAGGTTATGAGACACATTCTTTCAAATCCAACTTTGGTTCCTGGCCAGCAGGAACTGCCGCTTCCGTAGCTGAGGAAGGAAGAGGAAAGGTAGCAGGTATGTGTCATTTGCGACTTTAAAGTAGACTTAAAGTGCTTCCTGCTCAACTTATTCATGTTGGTGTTCAAATATCTGCCAGCTTTATTGAAGCAACAAGGTGTTGGTATTAAGGGGATGTCAAAAAGTACACATGTAAATGAGGAAGTACCTCCATTGCTGGAGGGAGGTGGAAAGTTGGAGGTATAGTTAAAAAGTACTTTTTCATGTTAATTCTGAAAATAACTGTATGAACTTGGTAGTTACTTATCTGTTTTGTGCTGAAAAATTGGACATTGTTCATTTTGAAGGTATGGTACGTCAATGAAGACACCAAGACTCCACTGCCCTCAGAGGATGTCGGTAAATTTTATAGTGGAGACTGTTATCTTATTCTTTACACTTACCACTCTGGAGAGAGAAAAGAAGATTACCTTTTGTATACTTGGTATGGAAAGGATAGCGTCGAGGTAAGTTAAAATATGTTATGTTGCTTTGGGTGTAAAATAGAATCCATAATTTGAGTTGTGCATAATTTGTTGTGTGTTTGAAATAATAAGATATTTATGAAGATACCTTATACGACTATTAACTAGTCCAATGTCATTAGCTTTTTTAGAGATACCTTACACGGCTGAACTAGTAGTACAGTATCATTAGCATTAGAACGAAGGGGAAGTATTGTTATGTTCTTATAGATATCAGAATACGTTAATAAAGGATCTTATAGGATTTGATTTAGACTGTGTTTTACATAGCTTTCCTAAGTGATTTTAGATGACTGGCTTTATTTCTTTTATTTATATTTAATTTTTAATTAATTTATATATATATATATATTTTAAATCTGCAGTGTTTCACATTTTTAAAAAATAGATCGGTTTAAAATACTTTTTAAATAAATTTTTAGAGGGATGATTTTCAAAGGTGATTGATTGAGAAACACTGAGAAAAAGATAAAGATGTTGAATGTAGTTTAACCAAACAAATTTGTGGGTAGGAGCACTTAACATGTAAGTATATTAATTAAAAGCACTTTTTATTAAAATTATTTTAGGAAAAAATACTTTTAAAAAGTTCGTAGACTAATGCTACCTCTAACTCACCCTTATTCATGTGTATTTTTTTTCTTTTTATTACTCATTATTCAAGGGAACCATCAATGATAAATGTCAAGCAACATGGGTTGGCTTCTTGGTCATTGAAGCTTGTGAATAAGTGCTTAGAGAAACTGGGTTGAAACCATTATGGATACCAACCTAGGATTTAAAATCCTATGAGTTTCCTGGCCAATTATAGTAGAGCCAGACAAGCCTCATGAGATTTCAAGGGGCACGCGTAAGCTGACCTGAATCCATGGATATAAAAAGAAGACACGAAATATAAAAAGTTGGATAACTGTCTAGCACCATCTTCATTGTTGGAGAAGTTTGTTGAGCTAGTCAATGTGAATAAATGGGGCAAAGTTAGGCTGAAGGGGATCTGCTATCAATGAGTCCAACCGTCTAGTCATAATTTTGTGCCACCAAGTTGTTACTCTTTTAAGGGAAACTTTCAGAGCCACTTTTAGAGACGGGCAATAAGATAATAGGTAATAGTTTGTTATGTCGACAGAACAGCTTAAGTGGGAGTAAGTCTCCCTTTTTTGGACATGAGAAGCTTCTTCCACTTTTGGAGCTTTGTAAGAATCTTTTCAAGAATAGGTCTCTATAATTCTGTGCTTCTAGGATTACCACCCGAAAGGAAGGCTGAGATAAGTAAGGGTCTAATCATCAACAGCACATGAAAACCTGTCGACCATAAACAAGACCTCTTCTTTCGAATATTTATGCCAACCACAAGGGATCTGTGGCGGTGGATTTCAACCTGAAGCTTGTCCAAAGATTCTAATCACTTTAAACAAGCTACTAACCTTGCTAACATATGGGGTTGAGAAAAGGATCATATCATCTGCAATGAAAGATGATTGATTAAAATACTGGTTTCACCATGCTGAAAACTACCCCTCAATTCTTTTGCATGGCTCTAGTCAACAATGAAAAAGCAACCAGAAATAAAGAGGGGCAGGATGAGGGATCACTTTACCTTAAACCTCTGGTGACAACAACCTTGCCCGTTGACTTTCCATTGAAAATAATTGAAAAATTGAAAAATTGAAAAAAGGCAGCCAGACATTAAACGGCTCCACCTGGCTCCAAAATATTTTCTCAAAAGAATAGAGCATCAAGAACGTCCCAATTGACTGGATCATAGGACTTTTCTGGATCAAACTTGAATTCCACCCACCAATCCACCATTATTTTAGAAGGGAAACCAAACTTTTCATCGTTAACTTTTCATTGATCATTGGGAAGTTATGATAAAAGAGTAACCAAACCCCATTAATGGAGTCTAACTAATTCCCCCTATCACATTAACACGTAAAAAAGCCCCAATTTAGGAAAACATTTTGTAAATAATGATTACGGAACAAAGAAGTTAACAAATATTTAGAATATGCTTGACATTTAGCTACTTCCACTTTCTCATGCCACTTTGTAACTTTAATATCTAAGGGTATAATTAATCAAACTAAAAGTTTGAGGACTAAATTGTATAGGAGAGAATTTTATAATTTGTCTATACATTTATCTATTTGTTGACTGGTGTTATTCTAGAAATTTTCTTTAATGGTCACTGTTTGAGTGGAAGCATATTTCTAGTTTGTGTATCGAAATGTTATATTACTAGTTTAGTAGCCCCTAAGGGACAACCCGATTGACAAGGGCTTGGGGTCTCTTAGTCATCCAGGCTTAAAAATCTTAGATTCGAATCTTTCGGTGAGCTTAATACCAAAAACCATTGATGTCTCCCGGGTCTGGGCCTTGGAAGGCGGGCGTGGGTGTCTTTGGATATTGGGGAGCAAAGCTCCAACCCCCAGTTATAAAAAAAAAATTGCTATTTTAGTATTTGTTTGTGAAAAAAAATGCTTATAAATTTATGTCACTTCTTTTCTTTTATAATTGAAATTAATATTTATTGTTGAATAGAGTTAAAAATTTCAGATCTTAACAGTAAAAACATGAATTTATATAGAATCTAAGAATTAAAAGAAATTATAATCAATAAAAACTTATTTGATGACCATTTTAGAGATGATCATTGATTCTTTAAAGTTTAAAAGTTGTGTACATGCATCTTTAAAGTTTAAAAGTTGTGTACATAATGTTTCATGCGCATTAGTTAAATATGATTATTTAACTAATAACGATACTATTTTAAGCAAACCACCAATGACCATTCACTGTATTGAGTTGATAGGGAATTAGGATCATGTAATTCTTGAAAATTTAGGTATAATAGTCTTAAACTTTCTCTTTGAGTTATACTTGTTAGTATATCAATATCTTGTTTTAATTTATTAATTAAATATTTTACTATTTATTAATTAAAGGACTGGGATGTTCTTTTTTTGGGAGAGTTCTCCAAAGTCTTGGGTTCAAATCTCCAGGTTTGAAGTTCAATGAACAAAATTTTTTTATATCCGGGGCATGTGATTTCAAATCGATTTATTGGGGAGGCCCGATAACACTGTTGCAAATATATAAATTTATATATTTGCAACAGTGTTATCGGGCCTCCCCAGTAAATCCATTTGAAATCACATAATGTTTGATGCATAGTTTCCATGAAACCGTGGCTCAGTTGTACCATACCCCCACCCCTTATTTTCCATAAAACTACCTCAAGTAGGGGAGGACTTGACTATTATCTATATTTCATGCCTATGCGCAAGGAAACAGCTTCTTTCTTGCTTGAAATTTTGTCCTCACATTATTTTTTATTTGTCTAATTAGTTTAAAGTTTATGTAAATGTATTTGTTGATGACTGCCAATATTTCTGCATGGATATTATGACATATAAGTTAATTGTCCAGCTATACTTTTTTTTCCTTGTCAAAAAAAATAAAATAAAAAAATTGTTTAACTATACTCAGTATTAACTCATACATTGTCCAATGTCAGGAGGACCAAAACACAGCTGCTCGGTTGGCAAGTTCAATGTCAAACTCGCTTAAGGGGAAACCAGTTCAGGTATTGTATTGTATCACTTTATTAGATCAGGAGTATGTCATCATCATTCACACATTATATTGGTGCGTCTGTAGGGTCGCATTTTTCAGGGTAAAGAAGCACCACAGTTTCTTGCTCTTTTCCATCCTATCGTGGTCCTCAAGGTAGATATTGTAGCTTGTTTAAATATTTATTGCCAAAATCCTGCTTTATGGGTTATAATTTCTAGCATGAAAACTGGATGGATGTGATTCTTCGTTTTAACTGAATAATTTCTTTAGGGTGGTCTGAGTGCTGGTTACAAGACATTTATAGCAGACAAAGATTTGGTAGATGAAACCTATAGTGCTGATGGTGTCGCTCTCATCAAGATTTCTGGAACTGCTGTCCATAACAATAATGCAGTACAAGTTGATGCTGTATGTGCAGAATGAACTTCTTTCATTTCTATTTATTTGTGGCAGTCTTAAGGTTTATAGATATTATTTTTGAAGAATTGCCTTATCTTACTTTTTTCAGAACAAGATACAAAAATTTTCATTGATGAATGAAAATAAACAAAGAGTTCAAGGATACAAACTCCAAAATGGAGTAAAAAACAAGAGCAAAACAAAAACAAGAAGAAACAAAACAACAATATGGACCTATAGGATATAAAAATTAAAAACATGAAAATGAATTCCTAGAGTCGCAAATTAATCTAGCTGAGTAGTTCTTGAAAGTTTGTGAAATTGAACACTGAAGAGAAGCTTTGAACTTGGCAAGTTCAAAACATTCCACCCAATCCTTGCTTTTGTTTTGGAAGAGTCGTTGATTCCTTTCAAGCCATAGTTTTGACAAAATAGCTTTGTTGCATTAACCCAAATCAATTTCAAACCATAATTTTGACAAAATAGCTTTGATCGCATTAACCCAAATCAACCAGGTATTTGAAGAAGATGAGAACCATACAGGAGATGCAAAATGTTATCCTTAGAGCCTTTTGAGAAAACCCATTGAACATAAAAGGAGAAAAGCTTCCACCAATACTTAAGTGCAAAATAGTAGTGAAAAAATATATGAGCTTGACGTTCACTGATAGAGAAACACATAACACATAAAGAAGGTTGGAGAGACCAATTGGGAAGCTTCTCCTGAAGGATGTCTGAAGTATTAACATTTCCCTGCAAAATAATCCAAACCAATATACTGACCCTCTTTCGATAGAAAGAAGACCACAGACGAAATTATTAGGCAAAAGTGGGTTGGAGACCTTTGCAACAGCAAGGGATTTAACCTTATCTTACTGTTACATAAGATGAATTGAGGCATGCTTTCTTTTTATGTATACTATTCAACCACAGTGGGGAGAAGGAAAAACAGGAAATACCTAAGAGTAACTTTCAGTGATGGGAATTGTTTCTGAAAAAAAAAAGGTTGCAGCATTGTCTCCTTATCGATAGGATTCTTTTGTTGAACCAGGCAGAATAAATATTTGTTTGGTTCTGGAGAACTCTATCCACAGTAAGTTATTTAATGGTCCTAAGAAATGATCAAAAAACTTATTTTTCCTGTCAGTTTTATGCGTGGAATGATATGCAGGAGAAGATACCCTATAGTAGGGCTTTTAGAAGAATGCTAAACCATGATTTAATCCTGCTCACAATTTCTTTGGGCTTAGAAATTTTTGTCACACTGAACTTTCTGGAGGTTTAATATTATCAATTCGAGCATAACTCAGTAGATAAAGCACCTATTAAAAGGTCGATGGTCGATGGTCCGATCTTCACCCTGAATTTTTTAACTAAAAAAAGTATATATATAGGCTTCGGCTTCCATAAGGGTAGGCTCAGCATATGTGATCAGGCACTTATTTGAGATTGATAAGTTCCAGTATCTCTCAGTCTAACATTTTTCTGAGTGTTCTGACTTTTAGTTTGAATAAATCAGCTCTAAGATCTTGATGATCGACCCTAATCTTTTGTCCGTACTGCTTTGTCTGGAAATGTAGACTCAAACGAATATAGCTATTGTGGAGATTTGTTAACCAATTTTTCCTTTGGAAATGGATGCAATTCTTAATTGGCACGAAATGATTCTACTTCTACAGTTACAATTCGTTCTTCCTGTTACTTCAGGAACAATTTCATAAGCTTTGTTCTTGATCAGGTGGCAACATCATTGGACTCTAGCCATTCATTTGTTCTGCAAACTGGAACTACTATGTTTACATGGCATGGAAATCAATGTGCTTTTGAGCTTCAGCAATTAGCTGCAAAGGTTGCCGAGTTTTTAAGGGTTTGCACCTCACCGTTGCCTTTTACATTTTATTTACATTGGCACACCATAAAATTGGGGTTTAGTACAAAATTAATCAGATTTTTGTTGAACATATAGCAACTCTATCTCCATGTTACGGGAGGAGCAGAGAGAGTAACGTTTCATTAGTTTTGTTAGGCTTTTTGTTAAGGAATAGATTTAAATGTTAAAGATACAGGATTAACATGGAATGATGGGAATCACCTCTCTTTTTAAATATAAATTTAGAATATAACGGGAATATCTATGAATTGCACATCTGGTAACTTTCTTATAGCTATGCTTTAAAGGCAGTCTTGTAGCCATGAGTTCTATACGCTTGGCTATTTACTAACAGCAGTATATCCTTCATATTTATGATATAGCCGGGAGGTATTTTGAAACATGCTAAAGAAGGAACAGAAAGTTCAGTTTTCTGGGCTGCTCTTGGGGGAAAACAAAACTATTCAAGCAAAAAAGCAGCTCCAGATACTGTCAGAGACCCCCACCTATACACAATTTCATCGAATAAAGGTCGCAGTTCTCTGTACATTTATTGTGAATCAATAATTTTTCTCTCGTGTAATGACAATATGTTCTCTTCTTTATCTAATTAGTCATTATATTGATTCTAATTTTCTGACTGTTCATCGTGGTCGTCCCCCTTGCCTTGGATATTTCAGGAAGATTTCAGGTGAGCTTTAGACCTTCTTTGTATATGATTTTTGATGCTTCATTAAGCCTGTATAATTATTGTCGTTCCTTACATTTTTTAGGTAGATGAGGTTTACAACTTTTCTCAAGACGATCTCTTGACAGAGGATATCTTGATTCTTGATACACATGCTGAAGTGTTCGTATGGATTGGTCAATTAGTTGACACCAAAGAAAAGCAAAATGCCTCTGAAATTGGGCAGGTACTCTTATTAGGATATCTCAAAATATCCTTTTATTATTGTTATTTGACAAACTGATTTTCTGCAGAGTTACATAGAAATGGCTGCATCCCTGGAGGGTTTGTCTCCAAAAGTACCACTTTACAAAGTCAACGAGGGGACTGAACCAGGCTTCTTCACGACATACTTTTCATGGGATAATACTAAAGCTATTGTATGTGCTAAACTGTGGCATTTTCCTTTCTGTTTATCATATTACTTCTTTTTATTTAATCTTATGTTTCGAAAAAAATTTCTTTGATTGAAAACTTAGGTTATGTTTTTCTCAACTTTATTTTCTTTATCTATATTTGTCATTAAAAAAAAGATCTGTGGCTTGATTTTGTCAAGTAAAATTGAAATGTTAATAAGCATATCTTAGAAAGGAAACACTTTAATTGAAATGATTAAGGGCATGTTTGAGTTGTAATTTCTTATAATTACATGTATATCAAGGTCAAACATTACTACTTTATATAGAAGTTATATCGATCATAAAAGCTCTAGTAAACTAGGGAAAGCAATAAAAGTGGGGAGTGTACCTAGACAAATCAGATGTAACGTGATAGTTTGTAGCGGAATTCATCATCAACTAGAAATTGTGGATTAGTTTCCATCAATAACTTTTTTCCCTTTACTTATCAAAGCAGGGACTAGTCCAATATAAAAAAAAATATATATATATATATATATTATAGGTAGCACTAGAGTCAAGCACCCAATCATCTGCAAATACAATTTTGGATGCACTTGGCAGTTTTAGGAATCAAGAGGGAATAAATTTTTGTAAACGAGGGAGAAAAAGTTTCATTCATTCCAACTGTATGTCCTTGTTACCACTTGAGATAATTTGTAATCTTCTTTGTAACACGAAACGCACTTTTCATGTAGAGGAAAAATTCAAGTGTTCTAAGATCAAACTCCTGCAACAGTAAGAGAAATTCCCCCCCAATCTAAAATAACAAAGATTACAAAATAGCCCCCATCTTAGACAAGTGTCAGGTCGGCTACTTACCTACCAACTATCAACCAAAAAATTTGCTAAAATGGTTACAAGAAAGCAGGGAACTTGATTTAATTACATTATAGGAATAACTAGAAAGAATTCTCTTTAGCAACATCCCATCTTTTTGAACCAATCAAGCATTTGCTCTTCAAGGATTTTTTAGTTTCTTTCATACCAGATGATTGAAAGAGCAGCCTTTGCAGCATTGACCCTTAGCAACTGAGCTTTAGTTTCCAACTTAATTCCATTTATTTGTTCAATATTCTCCTTAGATCCTTTATGCATCACCCGAGATGAAGAAGATCTAAGGAATACAGAATAGCGGATTAATCGATCTACGAGTAAGAATAAATTTGCTCTTTCGAACTATGGGTTGTACTAAACCAAAAGGGGTATTGTTTTAGGCTCAAGGAGTCCAACTATGACGGTAGATAAATAGTAATTGCACATTAGGAATATAATATACTTTCTCCAACAGAAAATGAAATTCTGTGGGGTAAAAAAAAGAAGGTTCTCCAAAAGAGTTCGTGCACCAAATAAGCGAGGTGCTTAGGGTTTATGGAGAAGGTCAGCAATGGAGGCTGGCAAGAAGGTTTAATGGATCTGTATATAAAGGATTGCATAAGTAGGTATTTTAAACTAGCTGTGGTACCATGCAAAAGGTTAAATGCTTTCTTGATCGGTTTATTCTAGGATGTAAGGATAAAAAGTCACAGTTGTGTCTATTGAAGTATTTGGGAAGAGAGAAATAACAAAATTTCAAGTGTATGCCAAAGAAATATCATTACAGTGCTTCTTTAACTTCCTGGGGCTTTTGTAGACTTTATTGTTTTTCCCATTTACCCCTTTTGATGAGAATGTTTATTATCGAAGATAAGAAAAAGGAAAAAGGATAAGTTTTATGTTTGGAACCGACCGTGTCAAAGTAGTGATTTCTTGGCATAGCTGAAAATGTCGGGCAGAAAGCTCACTTACTATCTTCATTATGTATGCCTTTGTCTAATTGGTATTGAGATGTTCCGTTATTTTCTATTTTAAAAGATTGCTTGGCATGTTGTTTGTAGTTTATGTGGCTGTCCAAAATGGCTTGTTCCTTTTCTGTGCTCTTTCTTCTTTTCTATTTATATTTCTCTTCTTATAAAATAAATTTATATATGAAAAGAGATGATGAAAAAAAACTACAGGGTATGGAAAAGTAAAAAAACCTATACTCTCTATAATTATCATTAAAATCATGCCAAAATCTTCTATACCAAGTAAATATAGTTTATAGTTGGTCAATAATTAGAAGACAAGATCTTCAGTTGCGCCGGGATGCTAATTCTCCAGGATTGGAGATATAAGTTGTATATTTCAATTTCATTTGTCACTTGTGGTACAATTTACTCAAGTTAATGAAGAGAAGATGACTGGGATTGCACATAGAGAGTTTATAGCATAAAATTTATGTGGGTCAAATAATCTTAATTGATATTATTAGTATTATTATGTTATAATCTTAAATGTGCATGTTAATGCTAGATACTTTGACTGGAAGTTTCAAGAAAATTTAGTAAAGTTCGTATTGTTTAGGAAGCATTAAGTCAAGATGGTATGGTAATGTGTCAAGGAATTTCAAATTTGACTTTTGTTTTATGTTCTTTATTCTCTAACTTGATTCAACTTCCATGCTTTASATTGATAATTTCTCTCTATATATATTCATTTTTTTTAATTTTTCTTTGTTTGAGAACCTTAGTTTAAAACTTTGAAATATCTTGACCAAATGTAGGCTCTGGGTAACTCATTCCAGAAGAAGGTTTCTCTGTTGTTTGGAACTGGCCATGCTGCGGAGGTAAATCCTCTAACCTATGAGAAATTTTAATTTAGAATGCAATTAAGTTCTTATTTCTTTAAGGTTTTTGCCGTGCTTCTGATTTTTATAATGTATTTCCAACTCTCAAGCAGACTTTTTTGTATTTATTTTGTTTGTCTATTTGAAGATGCATGCAAGAGCACAGAAAACCATTAGCTATTTTCACATACAACAGTTAGACGAGGAAGCAAAATCAACTTATCTTATTTAAAATGAGTGATAACATACATTGTTTTCTTGTAGAAAGGCCAACCGTGTGGAAAATAGTTCTTCTAAATTAGGTGAGAACACAAATAATCCAAATCAACAGTAAATGCAACTCTTGGTTCCTATTTAGAGAACATTTTTCAAAATAAAACTACAAAATGCTCATTAGAAAATAAAACATGTCAATGTTTCTAAAAGGTTGAGTGTACCATATATCAAATCTTGAAACTGCAACAAGAGCTAAGTTTTGAGTAATCATAACGCATGGTGCATCCATTCTTATTGAGTAAACTAATCAACAATCATAACAGAAAATGTCAAACATAGTTTAGTATGTCAGGTAAACAATGCCTGAACATAGCTTAAAGGCTTAATCCTTGTGAGGCATTTGTTTGAGTGGATTCTAAAACACACGTACCTGTATTTTTTTTTTTATTAACAAGCATGTGCATTCTTACCAAGCCAGCCAAATACCTTATCAAATTCACGATAAGCTCCCACAAATAGGCAGTGGAGGCCAGAACGATTCACTAGCCACTAATTGATTTAAAGAACTTGATTTGAAAAATGTATCTGAAGAAATTTTATTAGAGAATTGTACATAAAAATGAGCCTACTGCTATTATGTACTTGTCTTGATATTTACACGAATCATTAGGTCTTTTTTTCTTTGCAACTTTTTTCATGTTAGTATCAGTATTATTATGTTATTACCTTCTATTCACTTAGTTTTTCTTCTTGTTTCTGCCTCAAATTTTGATGCCAGTCTGTATAGACATGTGCTTTTGTAATGTATGCCTTTGTGGTGTGAGCAAGTGCAGTAGAATACTGCTTATGATATCCATTTCACCATGAGATGAATTATATGTCCATTCATTTCTGTCTGACTTAAATATTGTTGTGCCATTTACGAGTCGGGATAAGTCCAATGGAATCAAGTGGGGCCAACTCAAAAGGGCTTCTGCTGTAGCTGGCTTATCTTCTGTTCTTAGTCCATTATCAGTTAAATCAGCATATATGGTACATCCTTTTGGGTAGATGTGAAGATTTTCCTGAAAGGTTTCCTATTAACATGGATGGCATGGTGGCAATTTGCATGCTAAAAATACATTAACAAAGATCATTTGTCACATTCTATTTCTCAAAGACTATTAAGAGTGGGATACCCCCTAATGGTAGTTGCAGTAAATTGCTTATTATTGGGCAACTTAAAGTAGGAAAAATTCATTAGAATCATGGAGTTCTCCTATCTAACCTATCGCAGTTGGCAGATGCCTGAGTTTAACTGTGAGGGTTTTATAATTGGTCATGCATCATGCAATAGTTGATGTAATTGTTTATGTTAAGCTGGCAAATGAAGTACTAGTAGGAAAATAGAGGAGCATTTATTGGAACTATACTGCATTAGGCCATCTTCTATGGATATTGGGAAAAATAAAATTATAGCAATTCTTTTCCTCTTGTAATTTTTGTTATTTCTTTGTGATTTTGCTTTGTTTTGACTAATTATGGTTATTCTAATTCTTTTGTCTGCATTGATCAATGTATAAACATATTGGTATTCCAGGATAAAACTAATGGATCAAGCCAAGGACCTAGGCAAAGAAGTGAAGCTCTAGCTGCTTTGAACACTGCATTTAATTCATCCTCGACCACGAAACCTACTTCTACAAGGCCATCTGCCCGAAGTCATGGAGGAGGGTCACAAAGGGCAGCTGCTGTAGCTGCACTTTCTTCCGTTCTCACAGCAGAAAAGAAGCCCGATTCTCCTCCTGCACACAGTCGCAGTCCACATGCAGGAGATCATTCTACAGGTAAGAGAGCCCTGTTGGACTTCTTGATATCTGTGTTTTAATTGCACATTTAAAAATTTTTTGCATCAAAGTTTATACACAAGAAGCTGAGTTGGACTGAATTCTGTTCTGTCTGTAGTTAACACAGTACACGGTGGATGGTTCTTCTGAAAAGTTTCTAATCTTCTATCGAGCTTTACTGTTCTTTATATCTGTATTTTATACTGAATACTCTGTAGGGGCATACCACCTTTTTCTCTCATTTGCTGCAGTGAAACACACTTTATTTGGACTTTTTCCTTCTTTTTTTGCATAGCTGCAAATTGTGGACTTTTTTTTTTTGGGGGAAGTTTTGCCCCAAACCAGTTTTTTCTGTAACAATAGAGATGAAGAAAATTATATCCTATAATCCTTTGGTAACCATAAACCTCACAAAGATGATCCTTTTAAGTGGATTCCATCCTTATATTTTTACTTCCAACATTTTCGATAATCGAGTATTGGCAGGCAAAGGAGATGATGATAGTTTCCAGGAGGGTACTAAAGAAGATGAAGACAAGGAGACAGGGAATCTTTCCCCTTCACTTGAAAACGAAGGAGGAGATTCAACCCCCAAGCATGAGGGGGATGATGAGCCTGAAGCTGTTCATGCTATATTCAGTTATGATCAGTTAAAAGCTAAGTCTGACAATCCCGTGACTGGAATCGACTTCAAACGGAGAGAGGTTGTCTTGATGGAGATTTCTGTTTAAACTTTTCTTGATTTATGATGGTTTTAACGGTTCGATCTCCCTGATTTCTCAGGCCTATCTTTCCGTGGAAGAGTTCGAGACGATATTTGGCATGACAAAAGAAGAATTCAATAAACTGCCTAAATGGAAGCAAGACATGCATAAGAAGAAGGTTGATCTATTTTAGAGAATCAAGGACAAGCGACGTTACTGCTTCTTGCGGTGACCTGCAGTTGCTCGTTCGAACTCTGATATCCATATTCAAGAATCGGCGTTCTGAGGGTGCATGGCATCATGGCTGGTTTGCATTTTTGTCTAGAATTTGGTAGTTTCGTTTTTTCCTCCAAGGGAAAGGACCTTTGATTATTTTATTGATTGTGGTATGCTGCCTGATGAGTGATTTTTTTTTTTTTTTCTCTTTTGTTTGTCGAACGAACTACTCTTTAGTTTCTCTGCCATTGCATCTCGTTTTCGAGATCGCTGTGCAGTTCAATTCTTTTATTGTTGGTATGTATTAATTATGTTTTTGTTTTCGAGGTTGTTTGAGCGTTTTTTTGACCCTTTTATTTGGCAGAAAGAAATGAAATGGTGTATATGCAAATGTATATGGATTGAATTCAAATATTAGGAAGACAAATTAGCTGCTGTCTGCTAATTTTGTGTTTTTACTACTAATTTCTTTAGTAGTTTAGAATGGTTTGGATTTTTTTGGTTGGTTCTTCTTTGATTGTGGTTTTAAGGTTGTTGCTTAACATGGAGAAGGGTCCATGGAGGGAGTGAGATGGAAAATGCCAGTGGCCATTGTGTTTGTGGAGAAATCACTACCTACTATCATTGGGGGGAATGTTTGTTTGTTTGTTTTTGTTTTTTTTTTTTTTCATAATTTGCTTATTTTTAAAATTTTTTATTTTATTTTTGCCACATTGTCAAACCAAACTTTTATTTTTTCTATAATACTACCAACAATAACTCAGTGGTAATTGGTATATATCTTCAACTAAGAGGTCGTGAGTTCGATCCTCCACCCTCTTATATTGTACTAAAAAATGGTGACTCAAAGAATATTATCGACGTTTTGATTTGTTAAGTTATGTTTAGTTTGACTTATGAGCTCAGACTTGAACTTTTTTTTTTAAACAAAAATCTCGGCATAAAATTGTAAGATATAGTTGAATAGAAATTTGATTAAAATCAATTAACATAAATTGGGTAGAGATTTGAATTTGCAACTTATGAAAAAAGTTATATACTTTTGATTGATTAATATATTAACTAAAATTGGTTATTGATCATAGATCTAAACTAACATAAAAACAAATACTTTTGTTAAAATCTATGGAAAAGTATGACCCATTATAGATTTTCTTAATTTTCACAAAAATATATTCTCAAGAAAAATAAGGAGACCCAATAATTGAACTTTTTTTTTCTTTAAATTAAACTAGAAAGTCAACAGAGTTGTGAGTATCACAGTGGAAAACGTGAACAAATAGAATGAATCACAAAGAGTAAACCTAATCTCATTCTACTACCTAAATTATTACAATATTTTAGCCTTTTGGTTATGATTCTTTTTTATTTTTATTTTTATTTTTTATAAGGGTTCGAGACAAACAAATTAGCCTTTCTCACCCAACTTTATTAGGGCCCTTTGTGGACTAAGCTTCATTGGCTTTTTCTGGACCTCTATCAATTAATAAATAATTAGCTAACCTATGAATAGTTTAACTGGTTAAGACATTTATCTTCGGCCAAAATGTCGAATGTTTGAATCCCCACTCCCACGTGTTAAATTCAATAATAATAAAAAAAACTAATTTTTTCCTTGATAAAAATCAACTTCTATTTCCCCGTGTAACAATTTGAGGAGTAAATTTATACATTATTGATTTATTATGTTGATCGGCAATTAATATTGTTGACGGTTGATATTAATTCTTCCACTATCTACTCTAAGATAACAAGGTCTGACTTTTAGAAAGGTATGCTATGTCTTAACTAATTGAATTATGTTCATATTCAACTGATTTATCATATTCATTGATATTTAAATAATTACAAAACCTACCATACTTTAAAAAAGAAATTTCACCCAATGAACAATCAATCAATTTTTTTAACTACTTAAAAGAATATTTTATGATTTCTTTTAAAATATTGTATGCAAGATGTTGTGGATTGTTTTCCATTTTTTCTCAAAATGGAAAAAAATAAAATGAATTTATATAAATAAAATATGGCAATTTTGTAATTTCCCCAATATAATAAAAGGGAAAACCCATTATAAATCTTCTAATTGTAGCTTTCATAGGCCATATTAGTCTTCATCAATGGGGCTGTCAACCACAAACAAGTATCCAAAGACTCAACCACTAAAGATATGATTTATAAATTTTGTGTCTTTTTTTTTTTTTGTTAATTATAAAGTTTTTAAGTTCTTATTGGCTTTCTTTCTTGTTTGCTTTTCCTCTCATTATTCTTCCACATACACATTGTTAAACTCTATTTAATTATTCTTTCACTTGATAAGATGGATTTATACTCTTTGTGGGCCATGTTTTTTCTTTGTAATTTTGCAATGAAATTAAAAATATAAATGATTTAACTTTTGTACATAATCATTTAATTTAAAAAGTTGAAGGGAGTAAATGATTAAAAAAACTACAATTTAATTCATGAATTTTAATCGGTAAAGATTTGACTTTTGTACATAAATAATAATTTTGTCTTTAAATTTTAATAAGTAATAATTTAGTCTTTATAGTTTAAAATTTATAATGGTTTAATCCATGTTGTTAAAATATTGTTAAAATTCAGTCGAGGTTTTTTATATATGTAGATCGATAGAGATGAACCAAATGTTTAATAAACCTGTAAAAATTAAATCATGATATAATAAAAAATAGACATTTAATTTTAAATTTACTTATTCAAGTTCCTGAATTAAATCGTCCATCTGAAAATACAGGTCGAATTGAGATGGAGCATTTGTTTTGTCCTTCATTTTCGCACTCATTAAATATTGTGTTTTTAGTGAAGAAAAAAATGGGAAGAATGAAATCTCTTTTAGCTTCCATTTATATTTAACTTGGAGATTCAATCCACTTTTTATATTATTTGTCTATCATATTGTATCAAACTAGATTACTTTTGTGTAACAAATATGTTTGGGGAAAGAAATGTTGGGGAGACGCGGATGGACGCTCAATGGTGCTTAGAAATAAAAGAATATTCCAGGTCCACCTCAAACTTGTCGAGGAGACCAAATTTGTCCATATACAGGGCTAAGTGTAAAAGGTCGGGGTTCGACCTGAACGGGTTCGATCTGCTCAAACCCTACAGGTCCGACATGACAAAAAACAAGGATAACGACCGGTTGTAAGTCCTGTCAAATCCACTACCTATAAATAGAGGGCCTCATTTCACACTCTGGTATCGAATCTCACCTCGAACTTAATATTGAGTCCGACCTATACTAACTTGATCGTCAGAGAGTTTGCCCTCTTGCGCAGGTTCACTCCAAGGTTTAGGTCGGATCGGAGACCGGGTTCGAGCTAGGTTCGTGAATAGTATTGTGCAACTCTTTGCATAAACAAAATACATTGTGTTATCATTTAATTAGCAATAATAAGTAACTGCAAAGACTATTTAGACCATAATTTGTATCTAAGAAATATAATTGAAACTTCCTAGTGGTGTTTGGTTCCTCGTTTTCAAAACCACAGATAGGGTTTGTTAAGATAAGTGCTCGTTTGTTTCGCAATTTTATAAACCCAAATTTGTTACAGTAAATACTATTCCACCCCAGGTTTGTTAGCGGAAATACTATTCCACTCCCGAGGTTGCAATAGTAAACACTATTCCACTCCTCAAGTTGCTCCTCAAGTTGCTACAGTATTTTATCCTTACTCCCTAAGTTGCTGCAGTGTATATTTTTTCTTTATTCTCTCCCCCTAAAATACATTTATTTTTTTAATTAAATATATTAAATAAATGAAGAAATTAATTAATTATAATTATAATTATAAATAAGTAAATCAATTTAATTGAAAGTACATGTAATAAATAATTAATTCATACATTGACACTTTTTTATCTAGTTTTTTTTCCAAATGATCCGAGAAGAATTTAATTTTTTTGTTCTTGTTATCTATTTCTAGTTTTTTTTTTCATTTTGTTGCTCGTTGTTGATGGTGAATCATACAAAATATACGTTGAAAAGTACCTTGAAGAAGGTCTATAAAATGTAAGTATTCTCATGAATTTTGTGGACATGTAAAAGTCATTTGCATAATTAATGAAAGACATTATAATTTTGTATAATTATTTATTTTAATTTTATATATTCTTTAATAATTTTTTAAACAATTATTATTTAAAAGGTTTCACTTTGTAATACAACGTAGTTGTCAAATAAAAATAAGTGAAATTTAATAGTAATGTTGATGATAATTAAGTAGTAATTTTTTTTAGAATAATTAAGTAATCAAATTTACTTAAGATAGTAAATATTGAAAAATTAAATAAATGGTTGATAACATATGTCGAATTAATTTGTATACTCTTGTTTAAACTTCGATAAATATTTTAAAAGTATTTTCATAGATAAATGAATATTTATTTTAAAAATTAATCATTTGAAAAAAAAAATGGATGTACAAATATATTAAAAATATTTTATATATCCTTAAAATAGTATTTCCTAATTTCGTAAGAAAATTGACTTTTTCAAAATAATTTAAATGTAATTTTAATCATTTTAATTAATTAATTAGTTTATAAATTATATTTTTTTAAAAGAAAATTAAATGTCAACCAACCCAACACAATTTAACAAAACCAGTTTAACAAAATACAAAATACAAATTTGATAAATCATGGCAAAACAGTGAACCAAACACCCTATGAACTAAGTAGTAAGTTCATAAACTAAATTTATAATTCAATCTATTTTTACTTTTTTAAAAATGAAATTGTATCATTCATGGAAACTGGATCAAAGGTAATATAAATTTATTTGCTTAACTTGATTCAACTTTTGTTAAAATAGATTAATATAAATAACTTTACAAATTTATTGAAATGCAATTTACGAGCTTAGCCAGTTATTATTTATAATGAGAAATCCTCCTCATTTCTTTATTTTTGTTCTCTTTAAATAAACATAATCTAACTAGGACATGTATAAAAATAAACCACGAAATGTGAAGGAATAGAATAAATATCTTGAAAGTTATGGATTCAAAAAAACATACCATAATATTTTAAAAAAAAGGGCGGACCCCGTGGACCATAGAGGCTCAATGATTATTTTCTAAATCATGAATTATTGTAATATTATTTGAACCTAATCCAAAATAAATAACACAAATTTGAGAGTTTTGCTTTGGGTGATAAGCATGAAATGTCTTTTAGTAGCTATAAGCTCAATGAAGCAATTTTAGGGGTTTAGAGCGTTAGGTAAGCTTTAGATATCCAAAGGACTTGTCTCCACAAAAAATTAATGTCCTTTTAATTTTCATATTCACTAGGTTCTGAGAGTTTTGACGGTAGGTGTTTTCATTTATGTATTTATGATTTATCTATTAGGACAGTCTGATTAGTTCTTTGCGCCTAGTTTTAAAATTGGTACAGGAG